CCATACAACATTTGTGGAACAACTTAGGACGAGTAGTTAAGTAAAATTATGGCGAGATTGAAACTGTGATTGCATTAGTTTTGTAGTAAACTGACAGTTGCGCTCTTAGCTTTAAAACACAGGTGGCATTCAAGTAAACATTGTCTTCTAGAAGAAACTTGGCACCCTTGTATTGCTGCCCCATAGCCAGCTTAACGATCATCGTAGAACACTATTAATTTTGACAGGAAGCATAATATAAATTGCAAAGAAGTCGATTTGATATCAGTCATGCTTTTGCTTACATACACGTGATAGAGTTCGATAAATTTTTAGCGGGACAAATGAACGATGTGGGAAGTAATTTGATAGGAATTGGTGATACTGAATGATAGAAATCTTATTCCTAAAGACCACATATTGGACATCGTTTTTGAACAAAAATATTTGGTTAATACTAATACGATAATGTTAGACCTTATGCAGTCAGATTAGTTTGAGATTACTTCTTGGAAGTTGGCATTAAAACAATGGACTGAACAACACGTAGTTTCGACCTTAATCCCATAGAACATATTTGGGATATGCTTGGGAAGCAGCGTTTAAAATATTTTTAATCTTTTAAGCATGAATCGCAGATATCAGGACTAGATTAGAAGTAGAAGTGAACATTTATTTACCACATAATTTACACAAGAATGCTCCTTTATTGAAGCAATGTTAGTTTTGTTGCTTTAGTCCTTATTTATTAGTAATAGTATGCATAAATAATGTAATTAATTTATGAACTGTTTAATGGATTTTTCTCATTAAGATCAAGATTTTACGTTATTTTACAAATGCAGCAATAATTTTAACAATTATTATTTATACAGACTGCGTCGAAACATTTTAAGTTAATTAGTATTATTTTATGAAGAATATATTAATTTTTAATTAGGAATAAAAATGATGACGATAAATAATGTTATTTAGGCAGAATTTCATTATCATCGAAACTTATGATAACCTTCAAAATTTTTATCCTCACAATAAACATATTCGAAATAATGTAACCTCAGCATCTAAGTCGAAAATAAACAGGGGCGGGTATGTATGCATTTTCCCTTTTATATTACCCATAATATTAATATTGACGACAATATTTAGTTCAATCAATAATAGTATGAGATCCCACTGCAAAATCACTACCTTCATAACTAAAATTAGGAGAATACATTGATAAAAAGTTGCCAGTTAAACAGTGGCCGCAAATGTTTTTAATTTAATTAAAGGTAATTAATTTTTGAACAAAAATTTTATATAATATGCTTGTTTTTTTGTATAAAATTAAAGATATATTTTTTTTAAATATGATTATATTATATGAAGGATTCTCGAGAAAAAATGGGCGCAAATTAGGGTTTCCAGCTGTTAAAAACGCGAAGTATCAAAGATAAAGTGAAATAAAACGAAGGTTCGAAACGCCACTGATTGGAAAAGGATGGCAAGTGTCAGATTATTCTGAATCTCGCGAATGTTTTAAAGCTAGTTGATTAAAATGTTATTACGTTGATTAAAATAAAGGTTGCGTTTAAAAAAAAAAAAATAAAAAAGTGTACCTATTTTTAACCATATGTATATATGTAATATGTATATTATTAACACTATCTGACACAACTGTTACTCGCCATCCTTGTCAAACCAGTGGCGTTGAGTGCTAGCCCTCTTTTACTTTATTTTTGATACCTCGCTTGGTTGCCTAAGAAAAAAAGCTACTGGTTTGACAAGGATGGCCAGTGTCAGATTATTATGATCCTCAAACACGTGTTAAAGCTAGATATACTGTTTATACCTTGATTTAACTAAAATTTACGTTTTATAAAAATAAAAAAGTGTACCTATTTTTAATCATATGTATATAACAAGTTTAATCTTTTCCTGTTTGATCTAAGAAGATCACACAGGAATACAAAAAGCCATTTCAAAGAAGATCATGAATCAAGGTTCCGATCTAATGCCAGAGATAAAGGTAGACGAGATTCGTCAATCGATAAGAAAAATGAAAAATAACAAAGTCCCAGGAGAGGATAAAATTGTAAATCAAGAAGATGCTATTAAATAAACTAAGGAAACTGTGTAATCTATGTTTGCAGAAAGAGAGGTGTACAAATATTGAAACAATGCTATTATCATCCTTTGAAACCACATATACAAGCTCTTCACTAGGCTAGTAAGATCTAGATTGGAGAAAAAATTAGATTCATATCATGAAATTATTCATAAAGTCATTAGAGTATGGCTTTAAGATGGCCAATTAGGACCACAGAGGAGTACCTAATATCTTCGTTTCGCAGATGATATTATCCATATCAGAGATAATTTAGACGAAGCCACTGATATGTTAAATGAATTAACTTTGCATGTTCAAAGGTGGGCCTCAGAATGAACTTGACCTAAACTAAGTTTATAACAAATATGGTCCTCAATAACCACTTAACTATTAAAAACAAAGTGGTAGAACTGGTGGAGATATATATGTATTTGGGTCCCGAAATAAGAATCAGCAGGGATAACCAAACACGCGAAATCCAAAGACGAATTACTTTAGCGTGAGCAGCCTTTGGAAACCTGAAGGACACACTTAAGGCCAACATACTAATTGACCTCAAAAGAAAAGTATTTGTCAATGAGTATTACAGGTCATGATATATGGGGCAGAAACTATTACTTTAACTAAGACTACAGCTTTGAAATTGACAGTGCCACAGAGACGAATGGAACAATCTATGCTGACAAGTATTGCTGATGTTGTGGAACGCATAGCGTAACTGAAATGAAACTGAGCAGGTCATGTAGCAAGAATGTACGACTCACCATGAACGAGAAAAGCTACAAATTGGAGACCAAAAGCAGACAAACGTAGTAGAGGAAGACCATCTACACGTTGGCCTGACGACATCAGGCGTATCACCAAAAATTGGCAACAAAGAGCACAAAATCGTAAAGAATGGCGAAGTAAGGGAGGCCTATGTCCAGCAGTGGACATGATAAATGAAGGTTGGATGATGATGTAACAAGTATATTATTAACACTATTTGATATAACTGACACTCGCTATGTCAAACCACACAGCCAGACAGCTTTCTTTTACACTATCTTTGATACCTGGCGTTTTTAACAGCTGACAGCGTATTTTATTTAAGAAATATATGAACTAATTTTTTATTCAAAAATTTATTACCATTAATTTAATTCAAATTATTTGCGGTCACTTTTTGACTGGCAACCTATTATTAATAACTGTATTTTCATATTTTTAAGTGTGTGTTAAAATGTGAGTTATGAACGTAGTGATTTTGCAGTGGGATCTTAGAGGATAAGGACCACTCAACAAATAGTTGTTATATTAGTAAATTATAGATTTATATTTTATATGACTGCAGTATACAAAAAGTATTATTTGTTTTAATATATTTTTTAATGTAATTTAGATCCACCAAGTCGTGTTTTTAGACCAATACCTCAACACAGAACAATGTTCTTCTTCTTAGAGTGCCGTCTCCTTACGGAGGTTGGCAATCATAATGGCTATTTTTATTTTAGAACTTGCTGCTCTAATCAAATCAATCGATCTGCATTGATACCAATCACGTAGATTCTTCAACCATGAGTTCTGCCTTCGGCCAACAGATCTTCTTCTTTGAATCTTACCCTGTATTATGAGTCTCAAAATTTGATATTGTTGTCCCCTCATCACGTGGCCTAGGTATTTCAGTTTTCTGGTTTGTATAGTGGTGATTTGCCTACATGCCTAAAGAGAAAGGTATTTGATCAGTGCGTCCTCACAGTCTTGACGTACGGAGCAGAAACACTTACCTTAACAAAAGCAGCAGCTACCAAACTGAGAGTCACGCAGAGAAGAATGGAGCGGTCCATGTTAGGAATAACTCTGCGAGACAGAATAACCAACGAAGACATCAGGAGAAGAACCGGAGTGACTGACATCATCGAGAAGATAGCCAGACTAAAATGGAGATGGGCAGGACACATAGCCAGAATGACAGATGGGCGATGGACAAAGAAGTTATTGGAATGGAGGCCAAGGGAAGACAAGAGAAGCGTCGGTCGACCGGCGCAAAGCGGCGCAAAATAGACGGGGTTGGAAACATGAAGAAGAGGCCTATGTTCAGCAGTGGACTCTTGAGGCTGGATGATGATGATAGTGGCGATTAGTTCTCTTTCTTTACCAACCCTCTCCGGTACTTCTTAGTTGTAATTCTATCAGTTCTATCAGAACAATGATAGGAGAAACTATATCGAAATATCGAAAAAACGTCAGATGGCAGTTTCCACTAAGAAGATTTGTTTCCAATTTAATTGATATCTGTTTCTGATTTCAAAAAGATACTTCTAAACATTTTTGCTTTCCTAACTTATTAAGTCAGTGAAATCGTTATTGATTGTGTTCCAAGATAAGGAACTCCCTTTTTATCTGACTTTTGGATTAGTCCACAAAAGGTTTTCGCACCTTCAAAGGTGAGTTTTCCTAAATTACTAACTTTTCAGCATCGGCAATAAGGTTACCTTTTTGTTTACTGCTAGTTTATTAAAAAATTGTTTGCAGTCTCAAGTAAAAACATCCCTTAAAGCGAATTAACTGTCTAAAAGAATATACAATGATTTGTTTATAAAATGTTTAGCAGTTACTTAGACAAAAGGCAAAATTTGTAAATGTGTTATAAAATAAATAATTTTATTTACTAATTTTTAATTACTAGGAACACCTAGACAAAAGTTGTCGAAAATATCTAAAAAGGTACATTATTATATACATATATATATATGTATATCTAATAAAACTGGAAGCGGTATTTTAACGTTACAATGTTAATTTCTAGATCTTAAAAAAACAATAACTATAAATGTAAATGTTTAAAAGTGTATGCCTCATAAAAACCGAATATTTATTTCATGGTCTTGGCAACCACACCAAAATTTAACACAAACTGAGATCATCCAATTTTAAAAATAAAACTCACCTTCAACCTTGGTTGCGCAAAAATAAACTATTTACACTGTAACATTCGTATCACAAAAATTAAAAATAACAAATTTCGTTAACTAAGCAAAATGTTTAATAAAAACAAACAAATTGCGGTGGTTAGTGCGCGATTTTCGTTTAACGAAGTTCGCAATTGAACTGAATGGCGCGCAGTTTGACTTTTCGTAAGAGAGCGGGCTGTCAGGAAGAATTCTGCGATTGTGTTTTGTTATTTGACGTGACGTCATGGTCGTGGTTTTTCGCTCTTTCTCGTTTACCTTTTCATGCCCATAATAATTTGTTGACCAACTTTAATTGACCATGAAAAACGCATCACAAGGAATTGACCATGTCGAGATGTGGATGTGTGTGTATATTTTTAGCGGCCATGTGCGGAATAGGCCAGGTGTTAATTGAATCTTAGTATTGTTTTTAATCAATCACGTACAATATTAAATATATGTATTATTGTGTATATTTATTTTGATTTTATAATAGGTTCACTATAACATACAACTTTTAAACTATTTAAATTATTACACTAGGTACAGTGTGGCGCAAAATTATGGAATAAATTTATTTATCGAACATTTTTTAGAGACAGATCTCTATAAAAAGATGAATTTTTATTTTTAAATTATAAATCAAATCTGGTCCATATTTCTATTTCTTTTTGTAACTATTTACATTTATAAATATAGTGTCGATAAACAAGAAAATAGGGAAACCTGCTTATTTTACTAGTATTGTTGAAAGTAACCTAATTATTCATGAACTTGTCTGCAGGTGGATGTTTTCCAAAGTTGTTTCGTTCTAAGACGTGTTTTAAATAGCTTAATTATTCATTACTCTTCCAGTTTAAATCATAATGTTTTTCTAATAATTTTGAACATCAACTGGTTCTTCTTGTTTTACTTGTAAACAATAATTTGGTATTATACCAGGACAAAACTGGTCCATATTTCTGTATTTTTTGTGACTATTTATATTTATAAATATAGTGCCGATCAAGAAGAAAATAGGGAAACCTGCTTATTTTACTACAGGGTTACGAAATTGAACTGTTACCTATTCAAATGACGATAATTTTTTTGTGTGAAATTATTTTTTATTGATACTCATAACAAAAATGTGCGAAAATAATCAAAATTTCAGAATCTACTTACTTCAGCTCGATGTAATCACCTTTTGCCTTGACTATGGCCTTCAAACGAACAAAAAATGAGTTGCATGGAATCTACGTCCTGGAACAAGACACCCTGGCATCTTTCGGCCGAGTAGGATACTAGGCCAGAAGACCCCAGGGTAGTGCCGGATTAACCGTGTTCCGGCTAAAACCTTAACCAACGTTCCAGAGAGATGGTCTTGCCACTCAATGACGTTAGGAAACTGGCTAGAAACGGACCAGTGTGGAGAACAATGGAAGGTACTGAGTACATGTGCCTAGTAGTGTATGCGATTGGCCGAATGATGATAATTTCGGTTAGATTTGTTTTGTTGAGTATAATACTAAATGTTTGCTAGTGTTAAAGTATTAAATGGTTGAGGCTATATAATATATTATATTACCGAAAATCTAAATGATTACTTTGTTAATGTGAGTAAAAATATAACCTCAACTATTTCGCCACAACAAGATCCAGTTTCCTATCTCTCTAATTCAAAAAACATTGCTGATACCTTCTTTTTAAGACCAGTTGATAAGACGGAACTCATTTCAACAATTCGTAGTATAAAAAGCACATCGACCTGTAGTACAGATGGATTATCTATTAAAATTTTTTCAAATCTACCGCATAATGTCATGGTCTCGCTAGTAAATGATTCCCTTGAAAAAGGTACATTCCCTAATTGCCTAAAGTCTGCCATCGTCATTCCTCTTCATAAAGATGGAGAAAAATCTGATGCCTGCAACTATAGACCTATTGCCTTGTTACCAGCACTATCAAAAATTATTGAAAGACTTATAAAAGTTCGACTTATGCCCTTTCTCCTTAAATATAATATTTTATCGCAAAATCAGTTCGGCTTTTTGTCTAATAAATGCACTAGTGATGCCATATTTTCTGTGTTATATGATGTATATCTATCACTAAACAGTAACCTCTCCTCCGCCACCGTTTTCTGCGACTATTCCAAAGCCTTTGACTGCGTAAATCACGACATTCTATTAAAAAAATTAACTTTCTATGGAATTCGGGGTGTGTCTTTGAACTGGTTCAAAACTTACTTGGTAGGTAGGAAACAATTGGTTAGAATAAATGACACCGACTCTAGTTGTAAACATATTGAGTGTGGAGTACCGCAAGGTTCAGTATTAGGTCCCATTCTTTTTTTACTTTTCATTAATGACATCACTTACTGGAAAATTAAAGGGAAAATTTTTCTATTTGCTGATGACACCAGTATTACTTGGAGCAGCTCTGATATTTCAACGCTTCATTCAATTATAACCGCTGATTTACTTATAATCAACGCTTGGTCAGACTCCAACTTACTTAGCTTTAACGTGGATAAGACTGTAGCATTATCTTATAAAGGAGTCATGCAACCCTTGCTTTTGAATGAGAGCCAAATCAATATCGTAAATTCCGTGAAATTTCTAGGTATTTTCATTGACAGTGATTTCAAATGGTCCTTGCATACTGACTCCTTAAGGAAGAAACTAGCCTCAGCTTGCTTTGCAATAAGATCTGTTTCGAAGGAACTAAATTTATCTTCTGCCAAAATGGCATATTTCTCATTGTTCGAGTCCCATCTTCGATATGGGCTTCCATTTTGGGGTTCTAGTACAGCGGCCCAATTTGATACTATTTTTAAGTTGCAAAAAAGAGCAATCCGTTATCTATTTGGTCTCAAACAAACAACTCATTGCAAGACCTACTTCAAAAATCACGGAATTTTGACGCTTCCCTCTTTATTTATTTTGGAAACGGTTTGTTTGATTCGAAAGCATCTAAACATTTTTCCCGATAGACCTGACCATGGCTACTCCATTAGAAATTCGGATTGTAACGTTTATTTGCCGATTCCGTCCACTCAGCTAGTAAAGAATTCTATTCTATATCGTGCAAAGAAACTTTATAATCACCTTCCAAGAGAAATTAAATCCGCAACATCCTTCATTAAGTTTCGTAAGGTGACAAAAATCTATCTCTCAGAAAGACCATATTATTCAGTTGACGAGTTTCTTAATGTATAACAAAGAAACAAAATTAGTATTGTTTATAATTACATTTGGGTGTCTCAAGCAGTGGCTACAATTTGTCTCATTTGTTGTTGTCTGTGTAAACTATGTAGGTTATACAATAATTTTACTAATTTAAAATTGTGTTATTCTGTTTTTTACTATATTTGTTTTTGTGTTATACTTTTTGTACTATTTGACTGATTTATTTTTTAGCTTTGTCCATAAAATTGTTCAATAATTTTCAGTGACAATAAAGCATATTTCTATTTTATAGTATATAAATAAAATATTGGTTTTCAATTTTGCTTAAAATTTTTTATTGTACTACCAGCTTTAATAATAAAATAAGGTTTTATTTGTAATTACTAAAACAAAAATATTACTTTGTGGCTTAATCCACGTCCAATTTTTTGAAATTCCCATAGTATCCCAAAATTTCTGAATTGTCCAGTGGTACCGGTCTTAGACTTTCATCTACCCTCATTTTTGATTTTTTGTTAAATCTATCAGACCATTTGACAAACTCCTCCTTCCATAATTCTAAAAAAAAAAAACAATAACTTTAATACTAGGAGATAAATTATTAAAAAATAACAATCAACCTCCACTTATAAGAAAATTCACAAAAATCATTACTATGATCAAAATCTATCGCATGAATCGTAACAAAAACATTTAAAAATTTGAATGCAAAATGAGTATTTTTTTTTTTCGTATTTAAATCTCCATGCCCTTCTATTTTCCAATGACCCTCCTACTGGCCTCATTGTTACATATCGAGATCAACATCTGTCTTTTATGATCACAATGGTGTTCCTATTTTTGTTTTTTTTTCTAGAAATATATGATAACATTTTCTTTCTTTATTGCTCATAATTAACAGATGCTGTTGCGTTGTTGTATATATATGTATATATTGTTTAACAGATGTAACAGCATCTGTTAAACTCCATGACTTTACTGATAAATATATAATTGAGCGAGGAATTAGACAGGGCGACACCATCTCCCCCCAACTATTCACTGCAGCTCTGAAATATGCCTTTAAAAAACTAGATTGGACTAAAGGGGGAATAAATATTGATGGTGAATACTTAAGCCACTTGCGTTTTGCAGATGATATTGTCATCATAGCCGAGAGTTTAAATGAAGCTCACAAAATGATGGAAGAACTAAAACAGGCAATAGAACAAATAGGCCTGAACATAAACTATGAAAAAACAAAATACATGACCAATTTAGTTCCACGTGATGTTATGAGGGTAGATGGGAACGAAGTACATCAGGTCTTTAGCTATATCTATTTAGGGCATGAAATTAGAATAGGAAAAGACAATCAAGCTTGTGAGATCCAGCGTCGCATAGGCTTGGGATGGGCATAAACCCAAAGAAAAATGGAAAGAGCAATGTTGGGAATAACTAGAAGAGATATGGTACCAAATAGGATAGTGAGAGAGAGGACTAAAGTGACAGATGTCATAGAAAAAATTGCACAAGCCAAATGGAGATGGACTGGACATATAGCACGTTTAAATGATAATAGGTGGACCAAAAGACTCATAGAATGGAGACCTAGAGAAGACAAAAGACACCGAGGCAGACCACCAAAAAGATGGATGGACGACTTGAAAATAACAGTTGGAAATTGGATACAGAAGGCGCAAGATAGAGAACAGTGGAAGAACATGGGGGAGACCTATATCCAACAGTGGATGCAAGAGGTTGAGGAATGATGATGATGGTTGCTCATAATATATCCTAATTACATGTCTAAACTATTGTAGTTCTCTTTGGATTCTATGTAAAGGAAAAGAACTCCTTTTTCCTATTCGATCATCAATATGGCGTTTAAATTAGATGAAGCAGAGGTACATGATTTCGTAATGATAGATTAAATGGTAGATAAGAACATCTTGGTTAAAGAACCTCAGAATCTGGTTCAATACAACATATGTGCAGCTTTTCCGCTCTGCTGCAGATAAGATAAAGATTGCCATGATGATCGCC